AAACAGCTTTTCTAGTATATCTATTGCATCAGCCAGTAGAGTTAGTGAAATTCATAGCTTATCATTAGATGTTGGACATTTTAGATTTGAAAAAAATGGAATTAAAATATTACCAAATATGCAGTTTCATGCAAAAACACAGACTTTGAATAGGCCTTGGGAGCCATTATTCATTCCTTCATTTAATTCTTATGCAACTGATTCTCAGGATTTGAAACTATGCCCTTGCCGTGCATTAAGGATTTACATAAATAGAACAAAATCTATAAGGAAATCAAACAGACTGTTTGTTACTTATAAAAAAAACCATCATAAAGAAGCTTCAAAGGATTCTATTGCAAGATGGATTGTTAATACAGTGCGATATGCATATGAAAATGCAGATAAAGACACTTTAAAAACAGTAAGAGCACATGATACAAGAAGACTCTCTACTTCAGGGGCTTTATTTTGTGGTGTATCAGTTGAGGAAATTTTAAAAGCAGCTCACTGGACATCTGAAACTACTTTCACTTCATTCTATCTGAAGGATGTTCCAGACTATCAGTCCATTTTTGCCATTCAGCAATTTTGGATTCTTTCAAGAGAGGAAGACAGAAATAGGTGAATATAATTTTTCAATTCCTTATTTAATTCCTTTCCCACCTCCTTTAGTACGGCTGCAAATTCTTTTGCAATTTGTCAAGGAGGCAGGTAAGTGGAAATATTGAAGTGAACTAGGATTTTTGTGGGTAAAATCTCGAGACACTGAAGAGTTACGCAAAGGAGATAACTGGAGGTATTACCGTATTTATAATATAAAACTCGACGAACGTATGGGGAAGTAGAGGGGAATTGCAATTAGTTAAGGAGGCAGGTAAGTGTAAATATTTCATGAACAAGGATTTTACCCACAAAAATCCTAGTTTCAATGGCATATTTGTCCAATTTCTGTATTGTACCTTCGATATTCGTTCACCTAGATACATGAAATTAACTGAAACTCGAAAATCAATACATTTTCTGAAAAATCAACATTAGCTTGCCCAGCATTAGATGTAACAGTATTCGTCCATACCAATTTTAAACAAATCAAGGCGTCTCGCAGGCCTCCAGATTTTTGGAAAATTTAGTGTTCACCCCAAGAACCGGTTTGGTCACAACATAACAATTTCAAGTGTATTTACAATTGACACAGTGTGTATATGTTGAGTATGTTTAAATGAACATATGTTCCCATAGTTTAGGACTTTATTCATTATAGGTTGAAAAAAAACAGGCAAGTTTAGATGTTTATGAAGTGTCCTATATTTTGACTTTAGTGGAACCTTAAACTAATGCTTATAGTGTCTGAAAAACAGACCTACCGGTAATTACGAAACTTAATTATTGACCAATGAACTAAGAAAATGAGGTTAGGGTCAGATGAACCCTGCCATACAACATGAACACCAGTCTATCAATCCATATACACAGAATATGGTTGACCTATTGCTTACAGTATCTGAGAAACAGACATAACCATGACATCTTAACATTGACCAATGAACCATGAAAGTGAGGTCGAGGTCGCATGAAATCTGCCAGACAGACATGTACGCCTTACAATCATATTCATGCAATAAAGTGACCCTATTGCTTATAGTATGATTGTATCTGAGAAGTAAACCAAGCTAGAAAATGAAAAAATGACCGATGAACCATGAAACAAGAGGCTCTCAAGAGCCTGAATCGCTCACCTGTATTTCAGAGGAGAATATTTTTAAATGTTAGCAAACTTGATGAACAAATTGTGTAAAATTGTCTTAAAAGGGCAATAACTCCTTAAGGGATCAATTGACAATTTTGGTCATATTAACTTTTTTGTAGATCTTACTTTGCTGAATATTATTGCTGCTTACAGTTTATATATATATCTATAATAATATTCAAAATAATAACAAAAAAATGCAAAATTTTGTTAAAACTACCAATTCGGTGGCAGCAACCCAACAATGGGTTGTTCGATTCGTCTAAAAATTTCAGAGCTGATAGATCTTGACCAATTGAACAATTTTAGCCAATGTCGATCAGATTTGCTCTAAAAGCTTTAGTTTTTGAAATATAAGCCAAAAACTGCATTTGACCCCTATGTTCTATTTTAAGCCATGGCGGTCATGTTTGTCGATGGATCAAAACTTCGGATACAATTTATAAACTAGATACCCTAAGGAACATTTAGTTAAAGTTTGAAGGTATTTGGCCCAGTAGTTTCAGAGGAGAAGATTTTTGAAATAGTTTACGACGACAGACGACGACGGACGACGACGGACGCCAAGTGATGGCATAAGCTCACATGGGGCCCTTCGAGCCCCGGTGGGCTAAAAAGGTCGAGTTCAGATGAAACCTGTCAGACATGTACACCTTACAGTCACTCCTGAAACCATGTACAGCTATAGTATTGGAGAAATAGACCAAACCAGACATTTTAACAAGAACCAATGAACCATAAAAGAAAGGTCAGGGTCAAATGAAACCTGTCGGACATTGTACACCTTACAATCACTCCTAAAACCAAATACAGCTTCTATATTGCTTATAGTATTCGAGAAACAGACCAAACTACAAACTTAACATTGACCAATGAACCATGAAAATGACGTCAAGGTCAGATGTAATCTGCCTATCTGGCATGTACACCATACAATCATTCCACACACCAAATACAGTTGACCTATTGTTATATCTGAGATACCGACTTGACCACAAAATATTAACCTTGATCACTGATTCATGAAATGAGGTCAAGGTCCTTGCAATCCTATATACCAAATATAGTTATTCTACTACTCATAAACAAGAGGCTCTCAAGAGCCTGAATCGCTCACCTGTAATTTTTTGCTTTAATCTTTCATCAATGATTATTTTTGCTTTTCAATATATATTAATGAGTGGCTTAAAAATGCCATTTAAATGTTCTTTGTATCTGTCATATTTTCTTCAAAAGCAAAACAAAATGCATTTTACCTCTATGTTCCATTTTAGCCATAGTGGCTATGTTTCTTGACGTACAAGGAAAAAAAATACAAAATTTATACAAGATACTCTGAAACTCATTCAGTCCAAGTTTGGCTGAAATTGATTCAGCAGTTTCAAAGGAGAAGATTTTTTAAAGTAAGCAAACTAGATTAGATGAACAAATTGTGAAAAATTGTCTTTAAAGGACAATAACTCCTTTTAGACAAAACAGAAAATGAAACACAAACTTAATTCTAGATACCCTAAGGATCATTGAGCTTAAGTCTGGTTGGAATAGGTTCAGTAGTTTCAGAGGAGAGAAATTTTTTATAGTTAGAAAACATGATAAACAAATTATGTAAAATTGTCCTTTAAGGGCAATAACTCCTTAAGGGGTCAATTGAAAATTTTGGTCATATAAAACTTATTTGTAGATCTTACTTTGCTGAACATTTTTGCTGTTTACAGTTTATCTTTATCTATAATAATATTCAAGATAATAACCAAACACTGCAAAATTTCCTTATAATTACCAATTTAGTGGCAGCAACCCAACAATGGGTTGTTAGATTCATCTGAATATTTCAGGGCTGATAGAACTTGACCTAATGAACATTTTTATACTAGTCAGGTTTGCTCTAAATGCTTTGGTTTTAGAGATATAAACCAAAAACTGCATTTTACCCCTATGTTCTATTTGTAGCCGTGGCAACCATGCCTTTTGACAAAACAGAAAATAAAACACAAACTTTATTCTAGATACCCTAAGGATCATTCAGCTTAAGTTTGGTTGGAATTGGTTCAGTAGTTTCAGAGAAGAAGATGTTTGAAATAGTTTACACCGGACGGACGACAGACTATGCTGGACGCCAAGTGATGGCAAAAGCTCACCATTCCAAAGGAAAGGTGAGCTAAAAATGAGAAGATCTACAAATAAGTCAATAAACTGTTGACACTGAGATATGTGCTTTTGTATTTACTGAGAAACAGGTGAGGAATATGGCATAATGGTAAAATATACAAGAATTTCAACTAGCAATAAACAGCTGCGCCACCAGCGCATGATATGACGTCGTCTAGTGTGTGAGGTTTTATGCAATAATCATAAATCGTTTCTGAGATACGGCACGACATGTGAAAACCCCCCTTTTTTTATAAAAAAATCAAGAACTCTAAAATAAAATTTTGAATCATCACCAAAAGGTATACAGATCTTTAGATTAATATAATTAAGAAGTGTGTAAAGTTTTAAGCAATAATCATAAATTGTTTTTGAGATACGGTGCGACATGTGAAAACCCCCCTTTTTTTTTACAAAAAACTCAATAACTCTAAAATAAAATTTTGAATCATCACCAAAAAGTATACAGATCTTTAGATTAATATAACTAAGAAGTGTGTAAAGTTTTAAGCAATAATCATAAATCGTTTTTGAGATACGAAGTGACATGTGAAAAAAACACTCCCCTATTTTAGTTACAAAGTCCTGTAACTCAAAAAGTTTTAATCTTATTTTCACCAAAAAGTATACAGATCGTTTGACCATCATAAGAAACAACTATATTAAGTTTCATGAAATTTGGATAAGTCGTTCTCAAGTCACGGTGCGACATGTGAACGCCCCACAGACGGACGCCGGACATTTGTATACCATAATACGTCCCGTCAAAATTTTGACGAGCGTATAAAAAGTTGTTAAGGAATGTGAGAATCAATTACACAGTATATCATGTGTCCATGAATCCAAATAAAAAAATTCAGGAATCTCTTTGTGGCACTTGAGAAAAATGTGACGAAAATTTCATAAATATAAAAATAAGAAGATGTGGTATGATTGCCAATGAGATGACTCTCCACCAGATAGAAGTCAACAACTATAGGTCACTGTACAGCATTTAACCATGAGCAAACCCATACTGAATAGTCAGCTATAATTTAAGGCCATTTATATGTTTTAAATATACAATGTATAAGCATTCTGTTTACAGGATGTTGATGAAGGATGAATTTTTCTGATAAACAAATAAGAGTCATAATCTTTCTCTGCAATAGATTACATTTTATTTAACTACACATTGCTCAACATCATACATAACATAAGAAAATAAAAATATATGTATAAATAAGAAAATAAACATATACATATAAATATTAAATAAATAAAATTTTCAAGCAAATGGTATGCATTATAGTACATATAATTCTAAATAAATAAAATTATTCATAAACATAAATGATCAATACTACTCATTCATACATCCCATCAACTGTTTAATCCTTGGGATATTACAACACATAAAAGTATTCAAATAGATCTTACATTAGGAGCACATGGAGTACACCAACAAATATTTAAAATGCATATTACATTCCACTTAAAATTACTACTCTCATGCATATTTGATCCACTGTATGGAAGCCAGAAACTAAGAAAAAGAATTAACAAATATGCTCTACAGAGTAAATAACTGATAAACATTAATTTGTCCTTTCAATTTTTTGGGAAGACTACCAGATTGCAGATGTTTCATTACACATGTATTAGGAACATACACCCTAAATGTTATTCTAATTTCTAGCTTGTAATTATTGAACTGGAGATTTATACATTTTTAACAGCAATGAAGTGATCCAGATTATGATGAAATCTATTCTACAGTCTTAGAGAAGTGATTGCAAATATTAATAAATATAATTATGACCAATTTTTTAAGCACTTCTCAGGAACCAAAATTGCAGACAAAAATTGTATTTGCAACCATTCTTCATTTTGAAAAACTGATATACATTTGTCTTATTAAATTCAATTCAGAAACATGTGAGAAAAGAAAGAAATAGCAGATCTTTCACTTCTATGGGTACACAGTCACTACACAACTACCTTAATTTTCGAATTCAAATTGATTATATTAATATTATGTTGTTATAATAATTACTGAGACCTCTTTTTGTCAAATCAGAATCACCGAAAAGGTACATGCATATATAGCTAATTTCTCATGAATAGATTACTCCCAGTGAAAAAGTGTAAACATGTGGAATGTTCTTAAATATGTGACAACTTCACAACAGACTTTCTCCATCGAATAATGATAGGTTATTCAGAGATAACACCATTATTTATAAAACATCTGAAATAAAGCCCAAAATCATTAGACCAGCAATTTTTGTTCTTCCCTCAATCAAACCCCTGCTTCTATGAAATCATGGTACCATCCCCTGAACTATGTCCAGCACTGAGAACACTCAACCAACTAGGCTATATAAAAATATAGCTTTCGTTAGTCAAAAAATGTCGGCTTTATCGAAGGTTGTAGCAAAGTACATGACGTATTGTGGCAAATAGATGGTATACCTTGCAGATCAGCTGTATTTATCAGTCAGAAATGATGATAATTTTAATTATCATGCACTCCTATAAATATTTTTTTTTATTATATTCATCAAAGAAAAGAAACCTTTGTGAAATGCTGCTATATTCCACAGAATCATGGACCCTTACACCAAGTTATATAATTGAATGTCATTCTATATCTGAGATTTGAAGAAAAAATGTAATCAGAGTCAGAGAAGGGTCAAATGAAGGCCAGTTTCCCTAGATGTATGGATCCTTACACCATGTTTGTCTCTCTTTTAAAACATGCCTGAGGTTTGAATTCCAATATAATATACTCCACTAGATGTACCATAACAAAAACAAGAATGTGTCCATAGTACATGGATGCCCCACTCGCACTATCATTTTCTATGTTCAGTGGACCGTGAAATTGGGGTCAAAACTCTAATTTGGCATTAAAATTAGAAAGATCATATCATAGGGAACATGTGTACTAAGTTTCAAGTTGATTGGACTTCAACTGCATCAAAAACTACCTTGACCAAAAACTTTAACCTGAAGCGGGACAGACGGAAGGACAGACGGACGAACGAACGGACGAACGGAGGCACAGACTAAAAAACATAATGCCCTTAAATGGGGCATAAAAATATATGATTGTAGCTAACATAGCATATGGAAACTTGTCTTAGATGTGAAACTTTATGCAAGTTATGACACTTAATATACTTAACCCAAGCAATTGAACCTGTAATATGGTCATATTACCCTCATCTTTAGGCACATGGTCAACCTCTCCAAGATGCATCTGTATACCTTATTAGATGGCTGTGTGTCTTTAGGTTTATGAGATCTAGCTGTGTAAGCCCATGTGAATGTGGTCATGGATGAAAGGAGCACTCAAATGATTCCCTCAACAATGTTAAGGCAAAAAACTAAAATTGCATGATTATATGATTGATCACATTTTTTAATCATCTGAATGAAGACTTTATGAAAATGAAAATAAAAGCTGTGATTTTATAATGCAATTTTAATGTGACCTTGTTTTTAGATTTCTGAAGATTGCCTTTTGGGTCTCAAGACCTACCCTATACTAATTCTGTGATCAATCAAACACATAACATATATATGAACTCTGCAACATTAATAAAATCATAATATTGAATTCTAAATGAACAGCCTATAGATTCATCAAAACCTTTCTTATTCAGAAATCCATGCAATTATGAAATGTCGTCACTATATCAACTTTCAGATGTGTTGCTATACTAGACTCTGAAGAAATGTCTGAACCATAAAAACTTATATATATGTTTTCCTTAACATAATGGAATCAAGGAACAACTCTCTAACATCTTTCATGACCATTATTGTTTTATATTTCTTTCATACTATTATGTGCTTGTCTGTATTCAGTATAACCTTTGCCAGATTCCATCATTTTATCATAAAGAGTCTTTGTTGTAACGATATCAATCTTATGTTTGTGTTTCATGTGTGACTTCAAGTTGCCTTTCAGTTTACATCTATATTCACATATCTCACAGGCAAATGGTTTTACATCCTATAATAGACATCAAAATACAATCAATACCAAAGGGATCTTCATCAATATTTCATATAAAATCACTTTGCACCATGTAGACTCTGAACCACAACCTAGTACTGTAAATTAAGAAATTATTGTGAGGTTTTTATAAATGTAAATAATGTGAGTTGGTGAGTATCGCAATTCTCATTCTGATATCAAATACATATATCTTTATGCAGATTTTCAAGAAATCGCAATAATTAATCTCAAATTTTTGTCCATTCAGCAAAATTCACAATAATAAATGCACACAATAATTTCTGAATTTACAGTAAGGGCTATTCCACTAAAATGTATGTTGGAGGGTAGGAAGGGAAGTTTAATTATTGAATGTGGGTCATGGGTATTTTTTCAGTATTCGTCTATTACCATTATGCAAAATTATCTACAAAATGGTTCTTGGTTGTAGGGATATTTTGAAAGTCCCTTCCTACCCTCCCACATACATTTTAATGGAGTAGCCCTAACTATAAATTGAGATTTGGACATATATTTAGAATAAGTATAAGAAACTAAGAATTAGTTGTCGTTTGTTTCTGTATATCATATTTGATTTTCATTCATTATTTTGTACATAATCATGCTGTTAGTTTTTTCGTTTGAAATGTTTTACATTTGTCATTTCGGGGCCTTTTATAGCTTACTATGCTGTATGGGTTCTGCTCCTTGCTGAAGGCCATACGCTGACCTATAGGTGTTAACTTCTATGTCATTTGGTCTCTGGTAGAGAGTTGCCTCACTGGCAATCACACCACATCTTATTTTTATATTATTTATATACATTATGACCATCTTTCAGAAGTTTCCTTTTAGATAGAACTCCTGTATGGGACAAGAAGTGATTTATTATATAAATAAGCTGTTGATTCAGAGATATGTCTCACCTGTCGGCATACAATTCAGAAAAAGACAATCTATGGACAGCAAAATTGCTTATTATTTCAAAGTCAATGGACCATGATCTTGTGGGCAGGGCCTATAAATGATCGACAAACTGAAATGCAGACAGTTATGTAACTTCATAGAAAATACCATTGTCTATTGTAAGTAGTTCCTATGAATCAAACTTCAGCAGAAAACTTAACATTGAAAATTGCTATTAATTCAAAATCACTGAACCATGTCCTAGGAGGCAGGGCCTCAAAATAGTCGTCAAACTGATATGTACTGATAGTAATGCAACTTTTTATAAAATATCATTGATCTATCACAAGTAGTTCCTATCAAACTGACTTAAGCAGAAAACTTAACATTGAAAATTGCCAATTAATTTAAAGTTACTGGACCATGACCTAGGGGGCAGGGCCACAAAATAGTCGTCAAACTGATATGTACTGATAGTAATGCAACTTTATAGAAAATATCATTGACCTACCACAAGTAGTTCCCATCAAACTAACTTAAGCAGAAAACTTAACATTGAAAATTGCTAATTAATTCATAGTCGCTGAACCTTGACCTAGGGGGCAGGGCCTCAAACTGATATGAACTGATAGTAATGCAACTTTGTATTAAATATCAATGATCTATCACAAGTAGTGTCTATCAAACTAACTCAAGCAGAAAACTTAACATTGAAAATTGCTAATTAATTCAAAGTCGCTGAACTTTGACCTAGTGGGCAGGGCCTCAAAATAGTCGTCAAACTGATATGTACTGATAGTAATGCAACTTTGAATCAAATATCAATGATCTATCACAAGTAGTTCCGATTAAACTAACTTAAGCAGAAAACTTAACAATTGTTGATGCTGTCGTCATTGTTGCCATTGCCGGAAAAGCAATCACTATGTCTCGCAGGCGATACAAAAATTGTGAGAGGTCAATGTTTGGACTTATTTTCACGGATGATTTAATGGAATTAGCTTCAACCAAGTCATTTAGATTTCTATTTGAATTGAATCAAATTTTGTTATTACAGTACCCTTTTTTCTATGAGTTTTGCTCCACACAATGACTTGTAGTTGTTACACATTTCAGGCATTTGGTCTTTAGAAGGGGATATTTGCAATCAAACCATATATCTCCCCTTTATTTAGAGATACCACTATTTTAATACAAACAAAAGAAAATGATATTACACATTCTGTGATCCTATTGATGTAACTTACTGAATGACGGGAAGCATAATGGTCCCTATAATTTGTTCCAATATAATCACATAATTCACATTTCCTTTTTTCTTCATCTGAAAAATAAATATTCTTAAACTACATCCGAATCTTAGGCAAAACAAAACAAAACCCCTAGCACAGCTATACACTGGCAGTAATTTTCTCTCCAAAATTGTTTAATTCATATATCAAGTACTGGTAGCCACAATTACATAAGACATTATCTTTCTAGATTCTTTCAAGGTATATTCTACTTGTGAAAAAGATCATAAATGCACAAGTTTTAAACATTGAATGGAAGAGTCATACATATTCATCTTTAGATGTTTTCAACTATTATTCTTTATACAGCAAAGTAAACATGGAAATACATCTTTGTTAGTTTGTATGGTAGCTTGATTAAACTCATTATATGGATGGCCTCAGGACCAAATGTGACTTACAACCCATTAAATGGTTTAAGAAAACATCTTTGAAAAAGCATTAAATGGATAATAAGTGATGTGGAAATCTCTCACTATTTTTTTTATTCTGGTTACCTAAAGCAATTACAGTTAAGAACTTATATTCTTTTAAAGGTCAGGGTGCAATAAGGGCCTTATTTTTACTTAATTTTTTACTGAAATTTGGACCTTTAATTAAAAGGTTTCCATTTATGTTTGTTTTTAGGTTGAGGTAATGCAAAATTAAAAACAAGTAGTTATTATAATAAGTACCATGATGTAACAATAAATGCAGTTGTGACGTCATGAAAAGGACCTTCTACAGGTTTTTTGTGAAAATAAATAGATTTTAGACATAGATTTTGGATCCGCAAATACAGGGCGCACATGCATACAATTTCCAAAATATTAACTTACCACAATGTTTGTCTATATGAGCAACACATTTCATGTAAATATATTTGTGGTACATACTGGCATGTGCTCAATATTTCACGCTAACTAATAGGTGTTAAACTTTGCAAATTTTGCCGTTTTCTTTTCTAATTTGAATTTTGCTATCTTTCAATTGTAAATATTTGTAATATTTCAAAGATATTTCTGTTTAAACTTTTCACAAACTTAAAGATTATTTTCAAGCTAAAATCACCTACTTTTGTAATAGTAATTGTTGTAGGGTGAAAGGAGCCCTAAGCCTACCTCCTCCTTTGATTAGATGTTTTATAGTGAACATTATTTACCAAATATAACTCCATATACTTACCAGAATGACATCGCTTTATGTGGGACTTCAATTGCCATTTAGTTCTAAAGCCCTTGCAACATTCTGAACATATATGCTCCTTTTCTCCTGGAATAAAATCGGAGAATGACTTCATACATTGAACAAAAATATTCACACCATAAAAATTCTATACAATACATTAAAATTGACAAATCAGCAAAGACCAAGGGAAGTAACTCAAACTTTATTGAGTTATACAAACTTGACATTTTTTCTATCTTTAGACTTACCAGTATGTGTTTTCTTGTGACCAACAAAAGCTAATCTAAATACTGTATTATAATCACAATCTTCACATTGATACCTGAAATCACAATATGATAATACATGTAGCAAGTAAAGTGGTCAAAATGAAATAAATATTTCATCAATTTTTTTAAATAAAACTTGAAATGTTAAACATGTTAAAAGTATTTTGAAATCATTTACAAAAATTCACATTTTTTGCATTGAATTCAAAATTATACATGTATAACAAGTTTTTTGCAGTTTATACATTCATTTTATTTTCTTTTAAATTAATTTTAGCTTTTCATTTTTCAATAGGTAAACATCAACATGTTTCTTACTGTGTAAGAATTTCCCAGATATTCCATACTAAACTGATAATCAAATAATTTTTACGGTTGATACACACAATTAATATGTTTTCAACTAATGAAAGCCCCATTCGAGTTATTGTGTTCTGAGACCTCTTTATGTCAGTTTTCTCTCTATTTCTCATGCAAATAACATAGCCACATTAACAAAGCCCTAACGCTAAAATTGACTATTTTTTTTATGGAAAAGAATATTATGTCAGTGTTTCATCAATAGTTAGATTTTTTATTTCACATATACATTTACTCACACTTTGATATTAGGTGGTAAAGGAATACCATGTCTTGTGTAGAGATGATTAGCAGCTGTCAGCTTCTCTCCATTGCATGTAAAGGGACATAAATGACACTGAAACCTTTCTTCATGATTAACACGAATATGTTTCTGATAAAAAAAGAAACACAAAATTACCATATGTCAGTGACATCTATTGCTATATATGTTATTTTTGAAAGTTTTGATATTTTAATGCAGCTGATTTTCTAGTCATGTACAATGATGTAAGTTAAATACTATAGCTTGAACTAGCAAAAACTTTATTATTATGGAATATTTAACGTTATTAAGAGTTGTAAGAATTTGATCCAGAACTTCAAAAAACTACAATCACATGTCATATCCACTACATCTCCATTTCCAACCAGTGCCACAACCAACGACTAATTTCACAAAATATCTTATGTTAAAATATACTTGTAAGTCATTAACATTTCAGTATAACTTTTAATAACAATTTTTTTAAAAAGAGCCACTGAGTGGGGTCGATGTTTTTAGATGATCCCCAATGCAGATCCTATGGAGGGGCACATGCAATTCAATAGTAATTTTGTTTTCAATATTTTTACAAAATCTTGTTCAATTTGAGATATGACATAATCCACCTGAGCTGTAGTGTAAGTGGAGAGATTTGATCTTGAATAGACATCAACATAACTTGAACCTAGGATAAGGTCCATACCAAATTAGAACAAGAGTGCACACGCTGAAATATCTCGCCTACTATACTAACCATTGTTTTTATGTTGATAGTCCTACATCATGTACATATAAAGTTTTACTACAAGTATCACATTAACATTTATGATCAAAGAAAATGAGGTCAAGGTCAGATAAACCAAGTCAGAAATACATGTACACCTTTAATACAATCCCTCCAAACACAGAATATAGATGACCTATTGCTTATAGTATAAAAGAAACAGACCAAACCATGGAAATTCTATACTGACCAATGAACCATGAAAATGAAGTCAAGGTCATTTGAACCTGCCAGACAGACATGTACACCTTAAAATCATTCCATGCATCAAATATAGTTGACCTATTGCTTAAGGTATCTAAAAAAAAAGTTAATCAGGAAAACTGAACATTGACCAATCAACCATGAAAATGAGGTGAAGGTCAGATGATACCTGCCAGACAGACATATACACCTTACAATCATTCCATACACCAAATATAGTTGATCTATTGCTTAAAGTTTAAGAAAAACAGACCAAAACACAAAAACTTTACATAAGCAATGAACCATGAAAATGAGGTCAAGGTCAAATAAAACCTGCCAGACTGACATGTACATCATTAAATATTTCCATACACCAAATATAGTTGACCTAATGCAAATAGTATTAGAAAAACAGACCAAAACACAAAAACTTAACATTTAGCAATGAACCGTGAAAATGAGGTCAAGGTCAAATAAAACATGCCAGACTGACATGTACATCGTAAAATATTTCAATACACCAAATATAGTTGACCTACTGCATACAGTATAAGAAAAACAGACCAAAACACAAAAACTTAACATTTAGCAATGAACCGTAAAAATGAGGTCAAGGTCAAATAAAACATGCCAGACTGACATGTACATCGTAAAATATTTCAATACACCAAATATAGTTGACCTACTGCATACAGTATTAGAAAAACAGACCAAAACACAAAAACTTAACATTTAGCAATGAACCGTAAAAATGAGGTCAAGGTAAAATAAAACATGCCAGACTGACATGTACATCGTAAAATATTTCAATACACCAAATATAGTTGACCTACTGCATTCAGTATTAGAAAAACAGACCAAAACACAAACTAGAGGCTCTCAAGAGCCTGTGTCGCTCACCTGTATTTACTGATGCTTTGGAAATCATGTAAAATAAGGTTAAAATCATAATTAATAGTGTTAGATATTAGATATTATAATGATATCTAAGATAATAACAAAAAACTGCAAAATTTTTGTAAAATTACTAACTCGGGGGCAGCAACCCAACAACGGGATGTCGGATTCGTCTGAAAATTTCAGGGCAGATAAATCTAAATCTGATGAACATTTTTGCCACCTGTTAGATTTGCTCTAAATGCTTTAGTTTCAGAGATATAAACCAAAAACTTAATTTTACCCCTATGTTCTTTTTTTAACCAAGTCGGCCATGATGGTTGGAACTTGGAAGGCGGGGTCATCGAACAAATTTTTTAAACTAGATACCCTAATAATGATTATGGCCAAGTATGGTTAAATTTGTCTCATTAGTTTCAGAGAAGAAGATTTTTGTAAAAGATTACAAAAATTTACAAAAAATTGTTAAAAATTGACTATTAAGGGCAATAACTCCTAAAGGGGTCGACTGACAATTTTGGTCATGACAACTTATTTGTAGATCTTACTTTGCTGAACATTATTGCTGTTTACAGTTTATCTCTATCTATAATAATATTCAAGATAATAACCAAAAACTGCAAAATTTCCTTAAAATTACCAATTCAGGGGCAGCAACCCAACAACAGGTTGTCATATTTGTCTGAAAATTTCAGGGCAGATAGATCTTGACCTGATAATTAGTTTTACCCTTGTCAGATTTACTCTAAATGCTTTGGTTTCAGAGATATAAGCCAAAATCTACATTTTACCCCTATGTTCTATTTTTAACCATGGCTGCCATCTTGGTTGGTTGGCGGGGTCATCGGACACATTTTTTAAACTAGATACCCTAATGATGATTGTGGCCAAGTTTGGTTAAATTTGGCCCAGTGGTTTCAGAGGAGAAGATTTTTGTAAAAAGCTAACGACGGACGACGGATGCAAGTGATGAGAAAAGCTCACTTGGCCCTTTGGGCCAGGTGAGCTAAAAACTAAACTATGACCACTGAACCATGAAAATGAGGTCAAGGTCAGATGACACCTGCCAGTCGGACATGCACACCTTACAATCATTACATACACAAAATATAGTAGACCTATTGCTTATAGTATCTGAGATATGGACTTGACCACGAAAACTTAACCTTGTTCACTGTTCCATGAAATGAGGTCGAGGTCAAGTGAAAACTGTCTGACAGGCATGAGGACCTTGCAAGGCATGCACATACCAAATATATATAGTTATCCTATTACTCATAATAAGAGAAAAGTTAACATTACAAAAAATCTTAACTTTTTTTTCAAGTAGTCACTGAACCATGAAAATGAGGTCAAGGACAATGGACATAAGACAGACGGAAACTTCATATCATAAGGCATATATATACAAAGTATGAAGCATCCAGGTCTTCTACCTTCTGAAATATTTAGCTTTTTAAGAAGTTAGTTAACGCCGCCGCCGGATCACTATCCCTATGTCGAGCTTTCTGCAACAAAAAACAATGTAGGTCTCAATTTTTTCTGGTATGATTGCAATCTTATTAGTTTTGAGTTTAATTGGAATTTTAGAAGTACCATTAGCATGATTAGGCTTGCTGTTTTAGATAAAGGTCAGCCAAAAGTAGTCCTAAAACCTGTAGTTTTCATGATGGACCTATCTCTTTAGATCTTAGGATTGGTAGAGAAATGACAGTCACTGTTTAAGAAAGTAAAACAATTTTGTATATCTCTTCTTCCATTAATCACAATTAGAAACGTAAGACTTGATCTTTTCATAGTTAAAGATATAAAGATATATATCTGCAACTTTAAATATGAAGCACAGCATTAACCACAATTGTTTGTAGGTTATCTCTTATTGATTCATTGGACTGTTGTGTCACACATGTACAAATTGCATCTAGATTAGCCATGATACTTTCGTTTCAACAATGACAACATTTATAGTTTATATGATAGACACGTTTATAACTGCCATATCAGTTCACTAAATACACATTTTATAGTATATGTTGTATTTACCTGTAACCAATCTTTCCAGGAAAACTCTTTTCCACATATATGACATTTATGTTTTTCTTCTGGTTTGGTATGTAAATGTCTGATATGTTTTGTCAAAGAAAATTTGCATGCCACTTTTAACCCACAAATGTCACAAATAACTTGGGTCTTTTTGTCACATACTTGGATCAAATGAGAAAGCAGGTGCTTCTTCAAACCTTTATAATTACAACCCTGAAATTTTTATAGTATTCATATTTATATCTGTTTAGATACAAGTGTTATACTGACATGACTGTAATAGATATATTTGGGAGGTAAAGGTATTCCTTAGGCCAAATTAAAAAAAAATTAGGGTTCCCTACCATCATGATCAACATGACCAATAGTATATTTTATGGCTACTCAAGTTTTAACAGTACTAAATTAAAATGCAACGAAATTTCATTTCTCCCCTTATAAATATTCAAATTAATCCCACCCTATTTTAGTATGGAGAAAATCCAAAACTTATATATATTTTTTCTGGCCTTAAACACATATAACTTCATACAAAAATAGGAATAGATATAAAAAATTACTTATGACACGTATGATCATGAAGATTGAAACAGTATAGTTTACTTAAATTTGTTCACAATTTGTTCTTTTTCCCAATTATTTGCTAATTAATTATTCATATCATTTTTATATACATATATTCTTGGATGCACTTACAGCTTAAAATCGGAAATTAGCCATCATACATTTATGATGTTATTTTCAAATTTTCCAGCTGTGTACAATTCTAAAGATCATGAAATGGTGTATTTTTATATGAATACAAGTTGTTAATTTCTGTGCCATTTGGTCTCTTGAGGAGAGTTGTCTCATTGGCAATCATACCACATCTTCTTATTTTTATATGTACTGAAAATAAAACATTCAAAAGTTGTAGCAGTAAGAAACTAGTTTTGTAACATTCTTTTAAATATAATTACACAATACCTACATACCTCCCGTGGACATTCCTTCAATGGATACTTTACTGGATCAAGCATTAACTTGTGTTGTCCATACATGTGTTCAGCCAACAAACTTTCGTAAGCCCCAGTCCAGTTACAGACTGAACATTTCTGTGGATGAGTGTCTTTGTTGTGATTATAATAGCTTGATTCTGTAAAAAACTTCAGGTTACATTTCTTACACGTTCTGAGCTTATACTTCCCTTTACCTATTTCATTTTCAATGAGTTTCTTTTTGAGTTTTCTAGCTTTTATTGAGTTTTTGACATCAGGAACTGATTCCTGAATTTGCATATCATGTTGACTGCAAACCTTTTCAGGATTAGAATCTTTTTCATCACTAATTTTTAACACATTTTGTTCTGAATCAAACATTTGGCTTTTTATTGCCTTCTTCTTCTTTTCAAGCTTTTGATCTTGAGAATTGGTATCATTGTCGTTTTGGTCATTTAGTCTGATCTTCAATTTTTTCTGACATTTGACCGACTGATTTGCTGTAGTAATTTTCTTTCTTTTCTCCGGTGAATTTCTGCAATCCTTCCCATCTGATTTATTGCTACATAATACTTTATCATCAGCTGCACTATCACAAATTTTAGAATTCTGTAAATTGCTACTGTCTATCAAAAACATTTCTCCACAGCCTTTATTCTCACAGTTAACGACGAGTTGTAACTGATTTTTATTTTTTGCAGAGGTCAAAATATTGACCCCATCAGAATGATCCTCAAAAAAAGCCTTCGACTCATTCATCTGTTCTTCATCTTTACTTTCTTCCATTATAAATCTATTTTTAGTATCATGATACGCCTGTATTTTTGTAAAATTACTACAATGAGCCAGATTACTATCAATGGAGCTGTCTTCCAGAACATTATTCAAAGGAATTTTCATACTTTCTGCTTCTTGAATAGCATCCTTTTCAGTTTTGAAAGTTTCTATTGTTTCACCTTTATTCACATCTTCACCTACCTGAATATCATTTGTTCTCAAGTTATCTCCCTTATCCTCCAGCTGCAATACATCTGGTTCTATCTTTGAAGGAAAATCATCATGCTTTGTCATAAAAAGTTCTAACTGTTTAGTTACAGCAGTTAAACCAAAATGCTTACAAATATCTACAAATTCATTGAGAAATCTTCTACTGATGAAAATATCGCTCGTATATAAATACCTAACCAATGCATTCACAACTTCAACATTATATGCTGAGCAGTCTATCCTGGACTGGCCATCATTCAAAATATCATGCTGAAGTTTGATACTTTCTGATGAAACCACCACAAGTTTATGAATATTAACAACTTCCTGTTTTGTTTCTATGGTAATATCACACAGAAGCTTTCTGTTTTGAAGGTCAAACATTGATTGAAGGACAAAGTCTTTCCTGCCATATCCATTACTCTGATACTGCATGCAGATTTCATCCATCATTTGTCCATTTTTAAACAAACCCTTTGGTCATGTTGGTAGTCATGTGCTTTATTACATCCTTTATTGTCTGAAATTAGAATAACTACCATGACTACCAAACTTCAAAAGTTTGACTTAATATATGGTCATACAAAGAAAATCTAATGTTTGAAGACGATTTTTGCAAATCTAACCAATGAAAACAGGCCTTTTCTGTATATATATATATATATGCTCACCAAGAAATTACATTGCTTTTATTTCAATTATTTAACACTGCTTTTGTCTCTTAGCCAGCTATAGTAAAATGTGTTTTTTTTAGCTTGCTTTGATTTATGCATGTTGCTTATCTATTATTTTATGCATGTGTTTTATTTATATGTGTGCTTTGTATTCTGTCAAATGTGCTTATAATTTGGTATTTGTTTTTTAAATATCAAGTCGGTTAAAAGCTCTACAGAGCTCATGTTTGGTAATATTATTATTATGTTAATTTCGGTCACTTATTTTATCTTGCGCCTTGATGGTTATTTCAAAATCCTTTTCAGTTTCAGTCTATCTAAGATACTTTGTAGTCTTTAAGATAGACAGCATAACGCTAATATTGCTAGAAAATAATTGTTTCATGTCAATAACTCGCTATTTATCAGGAAATAAAGGGTAGTCTGATAAATTTGATAACTATAGTTAGTACATAGAAGGTTAACGATGGTTAAACTTGACAAAATGAGCTTTTCACAACCGTCAGATTTTCTCCAACTTTTATGATTTTCTATATCATGTATATATATTTTTGTAATGGACGTGATTTGGATAGTCTCCCTTTATAAAAATAAGGAGATGTATTATGATTGCCAATGAGACAACTATACACCATACTGTATTAGTCGGCTATAAAAGGCCCCGACATGAAAAATATGAAACAACTCAATTGAGAAAACTAACGGCCTAATTTATAACAAAACAATTTACGAAAAACAAATATGACAGACATGAACCAACTTTAATAGTTTCAAAGTAGTATTTTCTTAATTAAATGTTTATTTTATGTTTGATTTTGACTGAAACACACTAGAACACAAAGTAGCTTTATTAATTTGACTATAAAAGTATTCTAATTGCAAGTCACTTCATATATCTGATGAATATTCATTTATTCAACATTTCTTCAATACCATATTTTTTAATATATCTATAAAAGTTATAAGTTTTTCTCTAAACTTTGATCAGGAGCTGCTCTAATGGAGAGAAGTTCACATTCCACATGTATGTTACCAATGTTTTTTCAAATGATTGGGCAGAGCTTATGTTTTAATTAGCATAAGGACAGTCTATTTGAAGATGTGTCTGATAAGGATGATTCCCATTATAATTATTATTACTGATTTCTAATCACCTATCAGTGTCACCAAACAGATAATCATAGAGCTCAGAGTGTATGATATGGGATGAATAAAATATTTTAAAATTTAAAAATTTATAAAAAATAAAGGAAATCAATAAGATAGAGTACCATTTGCAACCATGTGCCCCCTCCCCCTCCCAACAAAAAAAAAATGCATTCGGAATGAAAGGAAGAAAAAAAGTATATCAAAACGTTATAGAATAACGACATATGCATATTTTGCAACTGCCGTCGTCATAGTTATATAATACTTTCATATCCACAATTTCCAAAATGTGACAACTTTTACATGTTTTTGACAAGAAAATCAAAGTCTGTCTCTCACAATTTACTTTGCGAATACACATATAATGTTTAAGTATTTTAACCAGATCAATGACCATAACTGCACACTTCATTGATGAGTTTATCCCAAAACACCTGTCTATAGATGAACTGGTCTATGATCAGCGATGAAGCGAATCGGTTAAACCCTGCCCAGTGAAGTGAAATAAATCAATTAACATATGAGCCGGCAATGTACCACTGCCACTCTTCTCTAATATACAGCTCGTAGGAATCCACTGATTCCACTCGAGTTAATTATCAGCAACTACATTGGCATTAGTTTTATACTATTTTCTAAATTCTAAAACACTGTAGCGCGAAGTATAAAAATACAATTGCATTTACTTTTTAAACTTAGTTTTTGAATTACTATTCTTATTTGATTTAATTTGACTTGAAATACTTTTCTTTTTTATTTTGTATGCCAACTATTACCATGATTACTATTCAATGACATTTCATTTTTGAACTTAACTTTTGAAATGCTACTCTTTGTTATTTCATTTGACTATTTTTTACCTGATTATTGTACATTTGTAAATACATAGTTGAGTTCTAATTGATTTATGTCTCTGTTCAGCCAAAATCTGATATAAGGTATCCCGATGATCAAATAGGGATGAAGTACTGGCCACTTCACGTCCCGGGAGGTGTTGACACCAACCCCCTCCTGTTACATTTCTATGATTAGGAAGTTATTTGCATATTATGCTGATAATCTATCTTTATCAATGTTCAAATGATGATGAACCTTATTTTGATTAATTAGCATGATCAGCAGGAACTTGAAGATTAAAAAAATAACTATCAGACTAAAAAAAAAATTTCTGTTGTCAATATATTTATCCAAGATTTATTCCAAACATACACATGACAGAATTATTAATATTGCCACAACATTATTCTTTCAGTGTAAAAAAAATAATATAATGAACAAAAGCAAAATGAATGAATACTGATAAATAATATTACAAAAGCTATACATACACAACTACACTATTTTTATTGCAGCTGACTCTGCCACAATGCCCTGTTTTGTAACAAAATCTCGAAAGAACAATCTCTTTGTTAATTGTAGTCTCAGGTCATGCATTTCTCAGACCAGGCCTAGGGTTCACCACAGAATGAAAATCAAGTCACTGCGATTTCTCTTATTTCAATGTTTTGTGTCTATTGTTTTTTTTTGGAAGTTGCTTTTGTGCCTCGTACCGATCTTTTGAGTTATTAAGCTATGATACTACTTTTTATAGTTTGTTCTTATGATATGCTGTTACATTGCTGTCCCAGGTTAGAGGGGAGGGTTTGAGTGCTCACAAACATGTTTAGCCCCGCCACATGATTCTGTATGTCCCTGTCCCAAATTAAGAGCCACAGTAGTTGTTGGTTCATGCCCGTCAAATTTGTTTTTTCGTAAATGGTTTTGTAATAAATTAGGCCTTTAGTTTTCTCGTTTGAATCGTTTCACATTGTTCATGTTGGGGCCTTTTATAGCCAAATATACTGTATGGGTTTTTCTCATTGTTGAAGGCTGTATGGTGGCCTATAGTTGCTCATACTACCACTTAATTTTCACACTGGTGGATAGATATGTCATTGGCAATCATACCACATCTCCTCATTTTTACATCAATCACAGGTAGCTGTGGAACCTACCTTAGCTCTTACTGTCCTTGTTATGATTCTTTACCATTTGTGGACCTTAATATAAAAATAAGAAGATGTGGTATGATTGCCAATGAGACAACTCTCCACAAGAGACCAAATGACACAGAAATTAACAACTATAGGTCACAGTACGGCCTTCAACAATGAGTAAAACACATACCGCATAGTCAGCTATTAATGGTCCGAAATGACAAATGGACAATGTAAAACAATTTAATTCAAACGAGAAAACTAACAGCCTGATTTATGTACAAAATAATGAACGAAAAACAAATATGATATACAGCAACAAATGACAACCACTGAATTACAGGCTCCTGACTTGGGACAGGCACATATAGAATGTGGCGGGGTTGAACTAGTTAGATGCAGGCGCCAAACCCTCCCCCTATTGCCCTAACCTGGGACAGTGGTGCAACAGCACAAAACAAGAACATCCTATACAAAACAATAAACGAAAAACAAATATGATAAAGTGTAACAAACTACAACAACTCAATTACAGGCTCCTGACTTGGGACAGGCACATATAGAATGTGGCGGGGTTAAACTAGTTTGAAGGCGCCAACCCTCCCCCTAAAACTCAGTTACAAGGTATATTGTACAAGACCCCAATTTGGACATCAGCTAAGTTATGTGAAATTGTTATATTTTGAATATTTAATCACCTTGAGGGTCCTAATCCAAATAAAAATTAAAATAGTCCTTCAAGACGTTAAACTGGAATCCGCTTGAATTACGATACACTCAAACAACTGGTACGGCCCAATCTTGTAGGGCAAAATTTTGTCCTGGAGATTTTAATGAGATTTGACTGTACTTTGTTACATAGCAACGTACAATATCTGAAAATGTAAACAAACAGAACAATTTGTTTCTTGATGCATAAAGCATAAAACTAATGCATAAAATAAATTCCTATTCTAAATTTAAATAAACTAATGCATTATAAAAAGAAAATAGATATTGAAAAAAGGCATCAATTTGAAATCAAATAAAATTCCGCTCAACTCCATGAATGACAGTTTGAGCACATAAACGTCATGGTAAACGTGACGTCATACAAAATGAAAACTTTCTAACTGAAGGCTTAATTACGATATATAGTATGTCCACTGTCATGGTGGATATGTAGGACTCTAATGTGCGATAGTACTCTAAAGTGCGATGGTCACGCTAAAGTGCGATGGTATACGCTAAAGTGAGATGGTGTCAAACGCTAAAGTGTGATGGTATGACACGCTAAAATGCGATGGTATAGCAGGCTAAAGTGCGATGGTGTAATAGGAATGGGGTTCAGGCAATGGTTTTCGTTTGTTTCTGTGTTCCTATTATTGTAGTTTTTCGTTTATTATTATGTTTATTAATCAAGCCGTTGCCTTTGTCTTCTTATTTGTTTTACACTGGACATTGTGTGACCCTATGTATGTATAATATATAGATTGCTATGCGGCATAGGGTAAGGCTCCACGTTAAAGGCCATAGTTATTAGTTGCATATATCAACGACATTTGGTCTTGGGTATATATGTGTCTCATTTTTTTTATTCAAAGTACAATAGTTGTCAAAAAAGTGTAATGGGTACATTGCAGTTGCTAGTATATACGTTCAAGTAAGAATACTTTGCAGTGATAGCCAATGCTCCGCATTAAAGGCCATGCGATAACCTATAGTTGCTTACATTAGTGACATTTGGTCTATCTGGTCTAACTGGCTATTGACGTATATCCATATCTTTAACAGAAATGACGAACCATTGTAAAAAAATGTTTTATAGTCTAAGAATGATTTCATTAGAAAGTACAAAAGTAGACTTTATTTCACGCAAGTTCATAACATGGAATTACAAACATAGAAGGTGCTGCTAAATCAAAATTGGACGAATTTAATTCCTCAACATCCAAGTGAGCCAGCTCCAGAATCTCCTTTTCCTCTTAATTTAAATTATATTTTGTAACCTTAACATGAATAGTAGAAATACTAAAATTATTTCAGTATAAATGATCAAATGGTCATGCATATGATCGTCTTGTACATGCATGTGATATTTGCCACTGTACGTTCAACAAGCAAAAATTAGTTTACATTACTTTGATTTATTGATTTATTTTACGGAACTACTGGAAAATATGATTTTCAAAGTGTTTCATACACAGCGTCACTTTTACGGTAATCAGCTTTATCATTTTTGTTGATTTCCACTGTTATCGGAAAAACGCACTTTAGCGTACGTATTGACAATGATTGAGGCATCGGACTTTAGGGTGTTCCATAAAATAGCACAAACCATCGTACTTTAGCGTATCAAACCATCGCACTTTAGCGTAGACTATCGCACTTTAGCATGAACATCGCATTTTAGCGTCCCCATCGCACTTTAGAGTCCTACAGATATGACAGTAATTAAATTTTAACCAATGAAAAAATTGTTCCATAAAATTGATGGTTTGAAAAAAAGAATATTCTTTCAATCTTTATAAGTTGATTTGTGATAACATTTCTAGGGTTGTGAGCATAAAGTAAAATTTCATGTTTACAATGGGAATTGCGGTATAATAGCCATGATTTGATTGGATGATGGAAAAAGTCTCACGACTAATCATATTCTACAATAGATCGGATCTCACCGGCTGTCTATGAACAAAGTGTAGTAGTCAGCCAAGAACCAGCTTATCAAGGCGTTATAATTATTTGGAACATGATAAAATGGCAACAAAAATTCATGAATCTTTAATCTTATGGTGGTCAGGCATGGGGCGAATTACATTGCAATGTAATGCATTATATTACAATTACTTTGACAAAACCATGCATTAAATTACAATTACAATTACATGCATTTATCAAAGGAATGCATTATATTACAATTACTTTTGCAAAGTAATGCATTGAATTACACATTACATTTGTAAATTTTATTATCAAGTGAAAAGAAAAAATCAAACATTTTGAAAACAACATGAAGTCACAAAAGATTCTAGCATATGCCGAGTAACTGTTCCATGTATTGAATTTAAGTATACATGTAAAAAGTCTATTCAATACGACTATTACATTTTAACATCATAAGGGTTTCGAAGGTTTCATGATGAATAATATTTCTGACTACCCGACTGTTTCACAAAAACTATCAAAGTAGATTGCTCTTCTATCTTTGGTTTAAATATTTAAAGGTTTACATCTCCGTGTTTTCTCCAAAAAGAAATTACATTATTACAGAGATGAAGTTTAATACTTATTTTAACTTAATGTTAACCTTACTTTTATAAATATGCTTTTTTTTTTTAATTTCAATAAAAATATTTACTGAGAATTTCTTTCCTGATTATATAATAAACATAGAGCTTAATTTATGACCAAAGTGTCAAAATGGTGAAAAGATTGATTGTAAAACAAACAAATTAGTGTTTTATGAAAATGTTCAATTATCTGTTATTTAATCATGTGATCTTTTGACAGTAATGGAACACTTTTACAGTAATGCTTTTCAAATATCAATCTTTTCATGCAGGAAAATGTATAAAATAAAATGTAATAATTAAAAAAAAAAACTCTATCTGATACACAGTGTTGTGTTATTCATTTAGAATTGTAATTTGGTCATTCAAGTATTTATACCACTTTATTTTTTTTCTTTTCAAGTTCTACCTGGGACATAGGCTTAATCACCGAATTCCCTCTAGTGATTTATGTAAAGTGTGAAAAATAAATAAAATAGAAAATCAATATTTAAATGATTATGTTCTTAGTTAATCAAAAATCTTAAATTCTGCTTTATTTTAATCTCCGACAATCTGTTAAAGATATATAGTATGTGAAAAAAGTAATGCCATGTAATGCAATGTATTAATGCATGAAATTACACAACTTTTTGCTAAAGTAATGCATTAAATTACAATTACATGTAATGCAAAAATTGCTGCATTACACATTACATGCAATTACTTGGAAAAATGTAATGCATTACCATGCATTACAATTACAAATTTGCATTACCCCATGCCTGATCATGCTGATGGTGGTGCACTAATTTTACCATTTTTTTTTTAGATTAAGGAATAATCTTTTTCACATTAATCCTGACTTCAGGGTATATAGGCAATCTTTGTTTGTTTTTTTCTGTCAGTTTACCTTTTATATAATTGTTTTTTCATGCATAACAATAATTTGGAACTATCAGTACAAGGGACAGAAACGAGATTATGTAGTGCATTCTTATCCTTATCTGACCTCCTGATTTAAAGGACTCTATTCTCCTGCATGTGCATCAAATGTGAATTAGGCCTACCAGTGTTATTAAATATCTCTTTAGTCGATGATTGATCTATATACTAAGAATGAAAAAGTCAAATAGTCAAGAGTTTGCATAATTCTGTCATTTACTGCCATTTCATGACTGTTAAGTGTTTAAATCATGAAAAGTATATAGTACATCTGAGACTACTATAACACTGTGTTATAGTAGTCTCAGAGTACATGTAGTATGTGTCCAACCTGAAAACACCATTGTTTTATTAAAATACATTTGAAATACATTATACTTTTAATTCTAAGGGAGCTACCATTTGATTTTTATGGGGGGGGGGGGCTAGGATGAAATTTGAAAAAAATAGGCAGGACAGGAGTTTTGAGTAAAAAAAAAGGCAGGATGAGATTTTTTGCAAAAAAAAAAAGGCAGGATGACAATTTATGTAAAAAAAAAAGTCAGGATAAACTAAAAAAAATAGGCAGGACCGAATAGAGTGAAAAATAAAAAGGCAGGACCGAATAGAGGGAAAAATAAAAAGGCAGGACAAAATTTTTCATCCTAGCCCCCCATAAAAATCAAATGGTAGCTCCCTAATAATCTGAGATAGTTTGAAATATATTGATTCTAGGAACAATTTGGCCCCAAATACTACCTTCTCCCCCTATTATTGATTTTTCAAAATTTATAACTTGATTAATTGTGGTGGATATAACATGTATCTTTTTTCAGGCGCTGATCTGAATTTTTTTTTCAGAAATCGAAAACGATATAAACGTTGTTGCGTTTGGATCTGAAGAGAGTACACAGTTCCCCTTTACATTATGAATACTACAGCCAGGCTTTGTTCAAGAGAAGGCGAAAGCCGGATACCAAAGGATATTCAAGCTCATAAGTCGAAAACAAACTGACAATGCCATAGGGGGGAAAAACGAAAAATGACCAAAAGACAAACAACAGTACACAAAACAAAACATAGAAAACTAAAAACTGAGCAACACGAACCCCATTATAAACCTGGGGCGAATTCGGTTTTGTTCAAGTAATCTTATAGAATGTTTACAGCAATCCTTGAACTGTGAAAGGATATCATTCGGAATTAGCAGAATTTCAAGTTAATGAATAATGCTAGTTGTTTTTCTACAATGTTCTTAACATGTTCTTAAATAATCGGTTTTGAACTAATAAAAATCGATAAGAAAGGTTCACTTCTTCACATGACAGGCCGATGTGACAGGAATATATCTTCCAGCTTGTCTGGCAAAACAGCCGTTGGACGTCAGAGTAATCTCGGACTAGATGTACATTTGTCATGTTTCAAATTGTATAGAAAGCATATAAAATTGGCGAAAACTTTCTTTAAATTGTCAAAACACCAAACCCAATACATAGATTTTTCTTACAAATTGATATATTGTAGATACAACGTTTCCGATATTATTCCGATATAAAATAATTCATAATAAGGTTAACGACTTCGTTTTGGGTGTATTATCAAATCTGCTACGTATATAGTTGGTAGTTGAAAAATTGACAAATCACTTAAGTCTTATCGAATTAAGAGCTCATTAATTATGTATCTTAACAAAATACCATTTAGTGAATTAGAGACTGATGACCGTTCTGGATCACCTGTGCTCACTATCGTTTTCGGTGGAAGTAATTAGTTCATGTTGCTAAATCATTTGTTTCTTTAACTTCTTGATTTTTCATTGTTAACTTTTTTATAAACATTCTAACAGTGTAAAAAAGGGGGGAATCGGCGTAAACAATTAGACGACATTGAACTGCATAAACTTAACCCATTTATCAAACAACAAGAAAATACATTGTTAACTAATTCAGATAACGTATTAAAGAGTTTTACATTGCACTTGTCGAGCTTTGATAAACAAAAATGACCCCAGGTAAATTAAAAAATGTGTATGTCATATAGATATGATTTCAGTTTATGTTCTAAATTTATACAAACCTTGAATAAATCATGGTAGTAGGTGTCGGTACTATTTTGGTGGGATTGATAGTATTTCTGGTGACTTATTTGTTGATGCGATGTCGGAGACCTTCTGATCTGCCACCAGGACCCACACCACTTCCCGTTTTGGGTAACCTCAAAGTAATTTGGGGCAAAAATTTACTAGATGTTGCAGCAACGTTACAAAAGAAGTATGGCGATATATTTAGCCTGTCTATTGGGCCATATTGGATGGTGTTTATAAACCGATACGATGCACTAAGAGATGTTTTTGTGAAACATGGGAATACATTTTCAGATAGACCGGATGTCTGGTACCTGCGAGAAGTGAAGAAGAAGAAAGGTAAGGTGTGCATGGTGGAACCTAAATATTGTAGTCCATTTGAATTTTTTAAGCCACGCTAAAATCATTAGTTAACGATAAGTTTTTTCCCATACATTTCGTTTTGTATCCATAAGACCTTTGAATTTTTATTTTAAATTTGCAATTATGCAAGAAAAGAATGCCCCATATGGTTTCCCTGTTTATAAGTTCAAAACATACGGAGAAGATACCATTGGACAATCATAACCATAATTCGGGAAATACACATACAACACCATGGCCAAACGGTAAACGAACGAGCGGCAGTTGGCCTCAAAATGATACGTAGAAAAATTAGGTTGAGAAAAACGAAACCCCACCAAAAACCTTTGTTGAACTCGAGCGCTCTTGAGGGGTAAATAGTTACTGCACCAGTTATGACATCTGTCGTGTTGATCATGGCATATACAAATTAAATTGTTGACAAGTCGCATTCCGTGATATCAAGAATGAGGAAAAGATTGCGGCTACGAAAAGTAGAACGTATTCAAGGTCACCATTGGCATAGATATCAAACAAAATCTTGATGGCTACAATAGTTAAAACAGACTGGAAATTATAATGAACACTTCTTCTTGCACAAGCTCAAGAATATGAGCAATAATATCAAATTGTCAATCATCCTGCCATCTTAGATTTACTTTTTAATTTTATTTTTAAAACCATACTTTTTAATTAAGGAATGACTGTAATATTTTTTCTGTCTATGAAGAAATAACATAAAAAATGTGGTGCACACTGAATAACTCGCGTAGCGGGTTATACGCGGGTTATTTAAAAGTGTGCACCATATTTTTTAGGTTATTTTGAATAGACAGAAAAAATATTACAGTCATTCCTTATAATTTAATTCTAAAAAGGAGTAAATCATGATAAAAACGTTGATGACGTCACGGTCACATGACAACGTTATGTCTATGAGCTGATAGATTAAACACTTTCAGCCAATCAGAAGACATGTTACATCCAAAATTAAATTATTGCAAAATAAAAAAAAAAAAAACACTAGTAAAATAAAATGTATCCGTGAAGAAAATTATGATACATTATTGATATAAAAATTAAATAGTTCCAGATTTAATTGTTCGAAATACTAAGGATTTTCTACCCCAGTAATTTTATTTTTTGTATCCATAAGAAAGTTATTCTAAACATTTGCAATTATACAAGAAAAGAATTTCCTATATGGTCTCCATGCTTATAGGTTTAAAAGATATGGAGAAGATACCATTGAGAAATCATAACCATAATTCGAAACAAACACATACAGCATCACGGCTAAATGGAAAACGAAGTAGTGACAGTTGGCCTCAAAACAATACACAGAAAAAATAGGTTGAAAAAAACGAACCCCCCAAAAACTGTTGTTGAACTCAAGTGTTCTTGAGGGGTAAATAGTTACTGCACCAGTTATGAAATCTGTCGTGTTGGTCATGGTTATTACAAATTTAATTGGTGACAAGTCGCATTCCGTGGTATCAAGATTTAGGAAAAGATTGCAACTACGAGAAGTGGAACGTATTCATGGTCACCATTGACATAGATATCAAACCAAATCTTGATGGCTATAATGATTGAAATAGACTGGAATTTATAATGAACACTTTTTCTTGGACAAGCTCAAGCATATGAGCAATACTATCAAATTGTCAATCATCCTGCCATCTTAGATTTATTTTTTTTATTTATTTTTAAAACCATACTTTTTATTGCAAAATAAAAAATACTAGTAAAATAAAATGTATCCGTGAAGACAATTATGATATATTATAGAATAGATATAAAAATAACATGAATAAAACAGTTCCAGATTTAATTGTTCGAAATACTAAGGATTTTCTACCCCAGGAATAAATTACCTTAGCCGTTTTTTGCAAAGCCTTTCAAATTTTTGGTCCTCAACGCTCTTCATCTTCGTACTTGTTTTTTTTTTTTTAACTTTTTTGATTCGAGCGTCACTGATCAGTCTTTTGTAGACGAAACGCGCGTCTGGTGTGCAAAATTATAAGTCCGATATTTTTCATGATTTTTTTGAATGGACACGTACTAAAATTATACAATTATAACATTATTACGAGGTTACACTCACTTAAAAAAAAAACTACTTATTGATCACGTTTCAGCAAAAATGAGACAATCTTAGCAAAATATTCATTTACAAATACACAAATAACTATTGATCGAAGGATGGTACTTTTTTCAAAGTTATTTGCAGTATGCGTATTTCAGATAACAATACGCGATCACAGCCTTGTTCGATGTTGCACCTAAAATAGGATCAACCAGCGTTTGCACTGACCGTTTTAATCAAAATTATATGATAATTAAAGAACTGCATGGTAAAACCTGAACCATATTATGATCACCTGATAGTTATACTATCTCATGCTATCACAGGATAGACGAAACAAATCTAAAATAATCCGGATCAAATAATTATTCATATTTTAAGAGAGTCTGAAATGTCAATCTCCCACTGCTTATTTTATTTATTGCAAGTGTTTCACATAAAGTATGGCATTTTCGAAACTGTAATATATATAATCTTTTTTTGTTTGTTATTTTTTGTTTTTTGTTGTATATTTTTTTGCATTGTTTCTGTGTCTAACTGAAAAGGGGCATTACAGCTTAGTGTAAAGTTTACGATTAAGTCTTATTAAGAATTCTGCAACGGGAATGAATAAGAGCACTATGTACCAAGAAACATATAACGTTAGTTATAGAATCGGTTCGGTTATTTGGAATCCAAACATTTCAAGTATGGATTGGTTTTATATTAACAGGTCTTGCTGCAGGTTATCCATGGAAAGAACAGAGAGCTTTCACACTAAACCTCCTAAGAGGATTTGGATTTGGTACGAGGACAATGGAGTCCATTATTACAGAAGAATGTGAAAAGTTTAGTGAACTGTTAGCAAAAACTGAGGGGAAAGAATTTGCGATCAGTGGAGTAGTAAATAAAGCTGTCTCTAACGTTATTTGTTCCATTGTTTTAGGAAAACGGTTCAGCTACGATGACAAAGAATTTGACAAATTCGTAAAAATCATAACCGAAACAGTAGTCAACGAATATACGCCGAAGGTAAACATCTTGCCGGCACTACTTCATATACCGAAAGTGAAAATGAGGTGTGATAATTGCATTGAACAAAATAATTTGATTAGAGCTTGGTTTCAAAAACAAATAGATGAACACAAAGAAACGCTAAAAGAGGATCACTGGAGAGATTTTATTGATGCTTACTTAGTTCAAATAAAGAAGATGAAGAGAGAATCCGATACACAATTTACAGGTTTGTTTTTTGATCGATTTAAGCAGTTTCCAGATTTTAAAAACTTCACCAAGATTAAGGGCACTTTAGTGTACTCTACATCGATAAGGTCAAATTTTGCAACCATTTTGGCAATTTAAAAAAAATATAGCCATGACATCGGAAGAGATTATAATTATTTAAAAAAAAGTAAAAAACAACAAAAAAAAACCCAGTTTGATCTCTTTGTCTTACTTATACTTTAGATAGAAGTTGTATTTATCTTGCCAGTTTTAGTTTTCAATTTACAGAAATATTACACCTCTAAAAGATATATTTTCCTCTATTGTTTTGGTCTACAAAAACATCGTTCTTTTTATAATTTCAAACTTGTAATGGAGATTGAAATAATTGCAGCACTTTAACATGTATATATTTGTAAAATGAAGTAAATGCTCTTTAAAATAAAAAGATAAGATCTTGTAAATATCATCAATTTTGGAGACGGATGTTTCTGATGGACATAATTTATAAAATATAATAAATAGAATTTCGAAAAATATCTGAAGAGAGTCCTAACAATACATTTGATAAAGATCTAGAATGAGTGTAGATTTAAAGACTTGGCACACTAATAGAAGAAGCATACCCTTTAACATAAAAGACATGAAAAGAAATACTCAATAGATAATTCCGGTTATTTTAAATATAATTTCAGAGGAAAATCTTAAATACGTAATACTAGATCTGTTCAGCGGTGGAACTGAAACTACTTCGTCGACTATTGGATGGGCGGTCTTGTGTCTTGTGAACCACTCTGAAATTCAAGAAAAGATTCGAACTGAAATGCAGAAAACCGTATCCAGCGGACCTCCATCTCTGTCTGATAGACATAATCTTCCTTACTGTGAAGCAGTTATCCATGAAGTTATGAGAATGGAACCAATTTTACCGATGTCCATATCCCATACTGCATCAGAAGATACCGTCGTCAACGGTTACCGGATTCCTAAGGGTGCTATTGTTGTTCCAAATTTATATTCTGTAATGCATGATGAGAAAGTATTTCCTGATTCCCACAGGTTTGATCCTGGGAGATTTCTAGACGGTAACGGAAAGTTCCATGCGCCAGAAAAGTTTTTGCCGTTTTCATTAGGTAAGTTATGTATAATCAGTGTGTTAACTTAAAATTAAAAGATATACGAAGGAAACGCAGTCTTTGTATTGTTTTCATGACAATGCATACATATTTTAGATTTTCTGATGTTTCAGACTTTTAATCATACACACAGTTTTTCACATCCAGACACATTTAGATTTATTTCAATATAAGAATGCCATTCTGGATCTTTACAGGGAATATGATCTCATATTCTCTGCCAGTATTGTACATCCACTGTCTGATTGAGCTCATATTTTATGTGAAGCACGAATAGCAATTATTTTATACTCAGTAGTGTATAACGATTTTAACATGTCTGACCATTTTGATTTTCATGTCAATTACTATTTATTGTATTAATAACACACTGCTGTGATGGTGATAGAGCAGATTTTTACCACGCGAAAACATTGTCAACATTGGTTTCGTCCTTTTTGTTTTCAAAGGGTAAAAATCTGCTCTATCACTCTTGCACCTATAAGCTATTTAATTTATTATACGAAATGTTATGTAATAATTGTAATTGAAAGTAACAAACTATATATTCAATGTCGTGTAAACATGCAAACAGCAACCCGTATTTGATAAAGCACAAGCATGCTGAAGTGTTTTCGCAAAGGGTAATACAATATAAGCCAGGGATAGACAATAATAAGAGAAGAGTGTCTCCTTCCTAATATGAATCAAACCTAATCTGCATTTTAACGTATATAATATAATAAGCTCAGATAAACTACTAAGAATGATCCTGATTGGTCTGTTATACTTAAGAATTAATAACATAAAAGGTACCAATTTTTCTGCACCAGATGCGAATTCCGACAATCGATGTCTGTTCAGTGATGCTCGATGCCAAATTATTGAAAATCCAAAGCAAAAAGAAGAAGAGATATAAACCAAAAAGCGCTGACTGTTCATCAAAGAAAATACCAGTTTATTATAAATGAATGAGTGTCTGGTGTACACACTGTTAATCCTGGTATCTATGATGAGTTTGTTGATAGTCGTGTAGGTTGAATAAATGTTGATGATCTTGTTTTTTGCTTGTTTGTTTGTAGGTAAAAGAGTATGTCCAGGTGAAGGCTTAGCACGGAATGAGCTGTTCCTGTTCTTTACCTCTTTACTTTGGAATTTTAAGATCCTACCTCCAGAAGGCCAATCACCTCCACCGATCGTAGGTAAACTTGGTGTGACATATGGACCTCTTCCATATAAAGTTAGATTTGTAAAATACAGAGACTAACATTTAGGAATAGAATATTTATACGAGAGTAACGAAGTACAATACATTACACATATCTTATTGGCAAAAACTCATTAACAACAAATCTTTAAGGTGTAATACCACCATTGATTTTCCCCAATTAGTCTTTGTTAAATTTGCACTTTTCAAAAAAATTGTGTAGAATTTATCTTTGTTTCAAATAAAGAAATACTTGGCATGCGTAAAGTTTTATCCTGTCCAGTGCTATAGAAAAAATGTCACATAACATTTCATTGCATATGAGAAAATAACCATCGCTGGAAGTTAACCAATCACATTTACCCCCTTATTTAACCTGTGTACAAGCTTTAGTAACTATGTAACCTCAAATTTCCAAAATATGCTATAGAAACCCCAAATACAAAAATAATGGTGTGTTGAAATACCCAAGATATATGTTTATGACCCAGAAATGTTTTACTGCAATAAAATGTAAGATTAATTACCTACAACTGTCAAATTCAAGGGAATATTTTTTTTCGACATATTTTTATACAACCAGATGTGACGTACCATTATTTGGTGGTATTACACCTATATAACTATTGCATATATAGTTATATTAACAGACATGCACTAATAAAAAGTTACATATTAATATGTCATATCATTAAACTATTCCTTATATTTATACACTCTGATATGAAAGAGGAAGAAATAATGCGGAGCTATTGTTTACAAATAGAGTTATTATTTCAACAGTGTTAATGTCACGCTGTGTTTTAAATAGAACGTTTATTTTATTTTTATATATTTCTCGTTTTGAGGTATGTCAAAAGTCATTGTTTTCAAATCATATTTTTTATACTATTATTAACAAAACTATGACGTACTAAATCTTTAATTACTTTAACAAAATGTTTTAGTGATCATATTACCAGATAAAATTTTACATAATAGAAAAGAAATGATATGATATGGGGTATCCACATCAGTATTTTCACAGTAAAAAAAAACACACACACAAAATCAACGCAAAAAGCAAAGAAACAGCGCTTTTATTGCTGTTCTTCACTTGTAATTACAGTTAAGCACATAAAAAAAACTCTCACCCTCACTTCAAGTTTAAACGACCTTTAGCACCGTTTGAGTGGAATATGTCTATCTATCATATTGTTTCATGTGGCACAGTATATTGTTTGTTAAAACTAGTTATTTTACAAAGATATACCTTGATCATTAAAAAAATGACTGTTTAAAGTACAGTAGCTTATTTTATATGCAAGAAGATAGGTACATATGTACTATGATGTGAATTGGAAATCTGATCATACGACAGAGTTTTAGCGAGATGGTGCAAATGGTAACATTCCCAATGAAAATATGTCACCCTATCTTGCACTCATTATTATGACTTGGGAGCCATCCTCTCTATTTCTCCTACATTCTGCATCGTATGTGCGAATTCTAATTACAATGTTTGTGTCTTTGGTTTTTCTGGATAGTGATCGAACCCATCATCTCCACACTAGAGGCAAGCAATATACCGCAAATCACCAAGATTGTTATTGCGTTTTTAGTACTTTTAGATTGATTTCTTTTCAATGAATAAATTTCATCTTACATTTTGTACAGATATAAATTAAATGTATTGCGATTGACCTTTTGAAAAATAGATCACAAATAAATTTTTCATTTGAATAAAAGAAAATATTCATTTAATAAAATTAATACTATTTTATTACTCATTTTTAATGAAAAAAAACCTCACATACTTGAAAAACAAAGTACATTCAAATCTGTTTAACTGGATATCACAGAGAAGTAGCAATGTTGCCAATAATTAATCAGGATATTCTATATTGTTTTCAAATGCTTCCTCTACATTGTTTGCCATTTCATCTTTACCCATTTCTTTTAAAGCTCCAAATAGGTTGTGAACTAGTTTTTCATTTGGTCGTGCTGATCTCCAGGTTTTAAGTATTTCCTTTAATTGTCCATCAGTTTCCAGCTGTTCTATTTTGTTCTTCAAAACATGTAAACTCGTGCCCAACTGATAGCATTCTTCCATGGTCAAACTAGCTGTGATACGGTTTAGTGACGTCTTTCGGAGTACTGGAATTGTACCTACAAAATATTGTGACAGAAAAGCGTCTGTAATGTGTCTATTTATTATGCAAATTCATCTGAAAGCAACTATAAAACCAAGTCTTCGAAATGGTAAAATTGAAGTTATCTTTTTGAAAGTTTTACGGACGTCACATAAACAAGAAATATGGTATGATTGCCAATAAGACAACTCTCAACCAGAGAACAAATGACCATAGAATTTAAAAACTATAGGCCATCGTCATGTATATACGATTATTTGTGTTGCACATGCGTTTCTATTGCCTTATAAGTTTTCTGTGAAGTGTTCTGTGGACAATTGTCTTAATTTCCGTTGCTTTTCATTTGGCCACATAGTTTTTCCTCTTTCTATGATATTTGGTTTATAGTCCTATTTTATTGTTGTCCTTTTAACAAGAAGTATCTGATAAGTTATGGTTCTATACTTAAATAGACTTTGAATGGACACTTTCAATAATTTGTGTCAGAAATTTCTCGACATTCGAATTAGTTACAACTGTGTAGTGTACCGACGAATTAAAATCTCATATTTTCTCTATGTGAATTACAATCGCTTGCATGTGGAGTGTTTATCTTCTAGATCTTGCATTTCCTATCACGATTTCATTGATAGAGAATTGGTGCTTTCAAGGAAGCTATTAAAGCTAGAGTTTCAAGTGGTGAAGTTGAATTCAAATCATTCGAAAATCTAATTCATCACCACGAGTTAAATGCCCATTACGGAATATCTGTTTCCCAAATGACGACAGATAATCCCGTCCTCCTATCCTCCAATGAAACCTGAATTAGACTTTTTATGATTTTTATGAGTAACACGACGGGCGCCACATGTGGAAGCAGGATCTCATGACCTTCTGGAACACTTGCGACCACCCTAGTTTTTTGTGGGGTTTATGTTGCTCATCTTCGATTTTCTTATGTTTTTGTTTACTGTTGTTTGTTGTTTGGTCTTTACAACTTGTATACTATCATTTTATGCTTTACGCTTTTAAGACACATTCATGAAAACAGTTCTAATTCATAACGTGTTGTTTTCATCTTTTAAGTATCATGTTATGCTATATACTAAAGTTTAGATCAAAATGATGATCTCCTAAGGGTAAGCTCACCCGGACTAGCATGATATATATTAATATAATCGGTGTGATTAAATAACTTACATTGATGGTCGTCCATGGCTACACCTACTTCGTCCTGTTTTATATCTAGAAGAACGAAAAGATTCCGTAATGTTAAAAAGTATTCAAAAAGAAAACAAAAGGTACATCAACCAAACGATACAGACGAACAACTAACGTTAAAACGTGAATATAAACCGTGTACAATGCTATTTTATAAAAATCTCCTACTGAATTACATCTTAATGAACATTTACATGTATACAGCTCGGTTTAATGGCTTAATTTATGAAATAGACATTTTGAAAGACAATATTAGTGTTGAACAAAATGAAAAACAGGTCATAAAACGTCTAATGTAAGACCCGGTTTGTTAGAATTGAAATTTACTGTAATTTGTAATTGTCTCATTTGGGAATCATACTGCATTTCCTTTTTTGTTATAGTAAATAGATTCTTCCGACAAGCAATTCTTACTTACATGTAGCACTGTTTACGTTAAATGAAGATATGATTGATTCGAATGAGATAATTATCAAATAGAGATCAACCAGAGGTCAACCACAGTATATGAAGCAACTAATTGTCACAGCAAGGGTCTTCAACAAAAAGCAAAACCCGTATACAGTACAGTCATGCCGCAATAGCGAACCACAAAATGGCAAAATAACCAAACAGTTTAAACGATAGAAAACAACGAGAAAAAAAGACAATGACCTGATTTATGGCAGCACACTAATCGACAACACAAAAATAACAGACAACAACTAATGAAATCATTGCTTAGTTTCTTATGTAACCTATTCTGACATCGGACTCTGTCTTTTTTAAACTGAGTTTTACTGTGTGTACTGCTGTGTGTTTGCTTATTCTACATTGGCTACAGGTGTAGGGTGAGGGTTGATATCTCACAAAACATGTTTAACCCAGTCGCATATTGCGGCTGTAATAAGTCAGGAGCCTCTGGCCTTTTTTAGTCTTGTTTGTTTTTTTAAAATTTTAGTTCATTTATATGTTATGGAGTTTAGTGTGACGTTAATTTTCACTGAACTAGTACACATTTTTGTTTATGGGCCAGCTGAAGCCCGCCTTCTGGTGCGGGAGTTTCTCGTTGTGTTGAAAACCCGTTGGTTGCCTTCGATTGTTTTCTGCTCTTTGGTTGGGTTATTGTTTTTTTGACACATTCGCTACTTCCACTCTCAATTTTATCAATATAAGCTTTGGATAGGTAGTGCCGTACATTTAAAGTGGTTGGTTTAATATGTCTTTGAGCTCTCCTCTAACATGGAATAGTGGTGTATCAATCGAACATAAGAACAAACTGTAAACATCTGTGTAAAAATGAGTTACCCATCAAATCGGCACGAAGTACAAAAAACAAACTAACATATAGACAAAAGACCGACTAAAGAGTACTCGCAGTCTGAAAGTTCAAAACCTATAAAAATAATAAATGAATCATACTATCTAGACTTAAAAATCATTCATTACATCGATTTACTAATTTCCAATTTAGTTATTGATAATTGGTTAATGATATACATTCTGATTGTTATGTAAAGTCTCGAAAACAAGTTGAGTAGCCTTTGGTGTCTTGTCTTGTTATTCCCCCCCCCCCCCCAAAAGCCATCTATATATGGATTTGCAGGAGGAGTGCTATTATTTTTATAATTTTCTTTTATACCCTAAGTTTTCATGGAAGTGCTACTATTTTGTTCGTCTTTTTATTTGACAGACAACTGTAATGAATATTTGGAATTATCTAAACTATATGAATTACCTGGGACAGTTGAGTCAATTGGTAGTGATACAACAAGCTCAAAATCAGTATCATATGCTATCGGTATTTCAGGTTCAAAATATTCCACAGATTTGTGACAGCAGTTGGTAAACATACGGTTGTTTGTGTTTGTACCAGACGATGCGTATGGCTGCTGTTGAAGCTGGTTTATTATTTCATGACGTTTTTCAATGTGAACTTCTCCTTCTAATGGTGATTCTGACGTGTCATTCATTAGGTGAAAAGATCGATAATTCCCTGTCTTGAATTGTCTTGGATTCAATGGGAGAAAGGGGTCCTGGTGTTTTAGGCTGTCTGTTTGTATGTTTCCGGTAAGTGTTATCTATGTAATACAGACGACAAATATTTTTAATATACTGAAAAGAATTAATCTCTACTGTGATCAGTCAAAATACAATACAATGTTATAAATAACTGCGCTGTTTGTGACCAACATACCGGTAGCTAACAAGAAAGTTTATACAGTTTAAAAGCAAACCTGTATAAAACAAAAACATGTCACTGCTATCGTAAAAAATAGAAAGTTCACAATTATGATGCTGAAGCGATCGTTTTGTCGTCAAATTATAAACTAAAGCAATCATCATTGTCAATTTCCGGATGCAAGCAAGACATTACTGAGACCATATATATTTCTCATCTTGCCATTGTCGAACTTTGTGATTATATTGTCTTGCCACTTTTAGCATGTGAAGCAAGGCAAGACTTAGTGTGTGTACGTTGCATATTTACCTGACATGTCTGTCCCTCTTTCATCACACAATCTTTGTATTTAACTGACATTGTGCAGAATCCTTTGTCTTTCCATTTCTTTCTTCTACTTTTCCCTCTATTTTTCAATGCATATTCTATAATTAAAGATAGTTTCCCGTCCGATGCTTTTTTTAACATAGCAAAACATTCCACTCGTACCTCCTTCTTGATTGCGTTGGTCGCCTGCCTTTTTGATTTACTCATATGTTGCTTGGAACAAGCTATATACCTATAAGGTAAATAAAAGGTTTAAAATGAAATGTCCTCTTTTTTCACGAATGGGACCTATCGAATTAGACTGATCAACGGGTATTTACGTACAAGAACAATACAAAGGGTGCAACATAAGGTTTTTTTTTATCTTTTCATCGGTTTATTTTTTTTTTGCCATGGAATTAATATAATGACAGTTTGTTTTCGACTCATGAATTTAGATGTCCTTTTGATATCTTTTGTCT